GGAACTCTGGTTCCAACATACCCTGTACTAGAGAGAGCAGGATAATTGAAAGCCATTCCAAACAGTCCCAGTCCCACACTAGTGAGCAACGCGCGCGCGCGCACGCACACACACACACACACACACACACACACACACACACAAGGGGGTGAGCATACCCAACCCGTGTTCTCTAAGGGCAAGCAAAGATTGGCAGAGTCATCAATATGGCAAGAACTGGCAAATGGGAACCCATCCAATTAAAAAGCTTCTGCATGTCAAGAAACAATGAAGACTCAGCCAATAGTAAGGGAGAAAAATCTTTGTCCAGTCGTTCATTTAGCAGGGGCTTAATAATTAGAGTGAATTAAAAAAAAAACTCAAAAAGGGGCTGGAGAGATGGCTCAGTGGTTGAGAGCACTGGCTGTTCTTGCAGAGGATCCAGATTTGGTTTCCAACTGTCTGTAATGCCTATTTCAGGGGATCTGACATCCTCTTCTGGCCTCTTTCAGAATTGCATGATACAGGTGTGCTTAAATACATGTGGGCAAAACACCCACAGGCATAAAATAGTTTTTAAAAACTCAAAAAGTGAACACCCAAAAAGTCAAATAATTCAATCAATACATGAGCAAGTGAACTGAACGTGTACTTTCCAAATGACGTACAGATGACCAACAAATACATGAAGAAAAGTAAACTGTTAGCCGTCAAGGAAATGCAAATCAAAAATTACATTGAAGTTCCATCCTAGCTCAGTCAGAATGGCTATCATCAAGAAGAATAAAACACAGCCACTATGGAAGTCAGTATGGTGGTTTCTCGAAAAGTTAGAAATAGAACTACCATATGATTCAGATATACCACTGCTGGATTCGCGTCCCCCAAACCAAAGTCAGACTGCTATAGAGATAAATGCGCATCGACGTTTATTACAGTGCTATACACAGTAACCAACTCATGGAATCAGTCTGGATTCCCATTAATAAATGATTGCATAGGAAAGTGTGATAGATTTACACAATGAGGTCTTATTCAGCCACAAAGAAAAGCAAAATCATAGGATTTGCAGGAAAATGGATATAATGAGATCATCATGTTAAGTGAAATAAGCCATATCCAGAAAACAAAGACTGCATAGTCCCCCTCATATTTGGAATCTAGAAAAAAAATGACATGGAAATAGAAGGGAGACCGGGAGGAGGTAGGCTAAAAGAGAGTAATGGAGGGGTGCTATGATGAGTACCTCATATATAAAATAAAATGCTTCAAGGAAACTTATACAACTAATATATGCCATCAAAAAGTAATATCATGTAGACAAGACTTGGTGATTGGGAAATTATAAATCATCTTGGAAAGATTTTATATATATATACACATATATATATTTTAAACTCAAAACCTACTGCATAGTTAAGATATATCCTTCTTTTGCTACTGTCCCTGTACTTCTGTGTAAGGCACAAGTTTGGAGAAGAGAGTGGACAATCAAAGACGGCTCAGAAAATGTGTGTGCAAGACTCAGTGGATACAGTCACATGATCAAACCGGGTGCAGCACCAACAGGGCAAGATTGGAATCTACGGAACATGATTGCATGTCTCCAGTGAAGACTCAATCTTACTACGGCTGCGGTTTTCTCAAGTTTAAGGCCCCATTATTGTTTGATAGTCTGATTTCACATTCATATTAGTGGGCAGCTATGCTCCTTGAATTATAGGTGTGGTCATCGCTAATTTCACTTTATCAACGAAAATTAGATACTATGACAGGTCTTTCTTTATTCAAGTGTGATCAGCTGTTACTGGACCCAGGTCCGTCTTCTTCCCACTTGAGAAATGAGGGTTGTTGGGAAGAAAATCAGATTTAAGTATACTATGACAGGTCTTTCTTTATTCAAGTGTGATATTGTGATCAGCTGTTACTGGACCCAGGTCCATCTTCTTCCCACTTGAGAAATGAGGGTTGTTGGGAAGAAAATCAGATTTAAGGGCTAACACCTTGGAAGATGGGGGCATTATTGTCTCAAAGCCCCACATTAGGAAACTCAGATAGGTGAAAGGGCTGTTATAGTCAGGCACAGGAGATGCAGGCAATAATGGGAAAGAAGGCTACTTGCTGGGTAAGGTCTTCTGCATGTATGCTTATGTCTCCCACCCCACACTGGGATATGGCAATGGATTTTGGTGTCTTTGAGCTACTTCCTGGGATTATTTAAATGAATATATTAGTTTTCAGCAACCTAAACACCACAAAATGACACGGTTTGTGTTGGTTAATGTTCAGGATTAAAGAATAAGAAGGAAGTGTTACATTCTGATGCGATCTGAAGTCACCACATGGTCTGTTGTAAGACTAAAGAAGGATTATTTTTCAGATAACATCTTAGTCATTCAGGTGTGGCTCTTCAATGACGGGCAAAGTTAGAGGGAGAAACTGCAAAAAGGACAACTTGGAAAGGACTGGCACTGTTAGAAGAATATGAGTCTTTTCTTGGGAATCTTAGTCATTCAGGTGTGGCTCTTCAATGATGGGCAAAGTTAGAGGGAGAAACTGCAGAAAGGACAACTTGGAAAGGACTGGCACTGTTAGAATATGAGTCTTTTCTTGGGATAAACGTTTCTAAAGTACTTGGAATTCCATGAGTGGTAGGGGTGAGAGTTGTGTCTTGTAATCATTGAAAGCCTTCCCTTAGGCCATCTCTGAGTTTATGCAGATGGGGGACTCCTGGTAGGCCTCTAGATAGCAGCATCAGCATGGGGGTTGGTTGCTAAAGGATCCAACTATGCTAACTTTCTATCACTGTGACAGAATACCTGAAACAATTCACTGTAAAGGAAGAATGTTTGCTTTGGATGACTGTTTCAGAGATCTTAGTCCATGAGTGGCTGCCTCAACTGCTTTTGGGCCAAAGATGAGACAGAACATCAGAGTAGGGGAACTTGGTGGAACAAAGCTGTTTACCTCAAAGTGGCTATGAAAGAGAGAGGGGAGGGAGAGGGAAAGGAGAGGCAGAGAGAAACAGATAGAAAGAAACAGACAGAATGAGATGGAGTGGGAGGGGAGAGGGAGGAAAGGTCCAGGGATAAGGTACATCCTTTATGATACAACTGTGATCTAGTTTCTCTCACTAGGCCCTACATCCTAACAGCCTATTCAGTTAGGATCTCTTTCATGGATTAACCCATTGATGAAGGTAGTATCCTCATGTTCAAAGTATTGATCACTCATTTTGGCTATGAAGTCTGAATAAGTGGCATTATCTCATTTTTTTAACTGAAAGGATAGTGGTTAAATTGCCTGCTCTCTTACATGAGTGAGTGTCACTGCTAGTCTCATGTGGTGGAAGCACATAGTAAACAACTAAAGAACCAGGGAGTGAGTGTTAAGATGAGAATGTGCCTCCTAAAATTTATGTATTGAACCACCATGCAGAGCTGTCATGAATGTCACAGAATGAGTTATCTACAGAATATGTATGGGGACCTGCCTTGGCCTCTTTTCCTTTTTCTGTCATGTGAAGACAAGGTAAGGTCCTTACTACCCACCGAGTACCAGGACCCTGATCATTGACTTTCCAGTTTCCAAAATTGTAAAGAAAAACTGTTATTTATAAACTAACCAGCATTGTGTAAATGGTTATAGGAGAAAAATAGGGCCTATCAGTGGGTGGGAAGAGGTTAGTTAACATAAGGGCAGTGAGAAGAAAGATCACATTCAACCTGAGCCATATGTGGTTCAGACCATCTTAGACTAACTGGACATGGAGGTTTCTAATTTTTTTATTTGCTTCCAAGGGGAAGAGGTGCTGGCTAGCTTCAGTTGTCAACACACTGGGAAGAGGAAAACTCACTGAGGAATTTCCTCTTTCAGATTAGCCTGTGGGCATGTCTGTGAGGCATTTTCTTAAACGCTAGTTGATGTAGGCCTAGCCCATTATGAGTGATGCCATGCCTGGGCAGATAGGCTGAATAAGAAAGGTAGATGAACAAGCCAGGGAAGCAAGGCAGTAAGCAGAAGTCCTCTGTGGGTTTTGCTTCAGATCCTGCCTCCAACTTCCTGCCCAGCATTGAGCTCCTGCCCTGACTTCCCTCAGGGATGGACTGTCCCTTGGAAGAGTAAGATGAAATAAACCCTTTCCCCCAAAGCTGGATTTAGTCAGACTGTTTTATCACAGCAATAAAAGAAAAATAGTACATGTTTTTTGTCCAAATATGATGTGGAAGACATACTCTTATGAAGCGGATTGTCCCTTGGTTCCTCCCCACCCATAAGCTGAGTACATATAAGTTTTCTGAAGAAAGATTTACCAACAAGGGTTGTCCCAACATGGATGGGCAGCCAATCTCAATTTTTCAATGATGTTTTTAAAAACACTAAATTAGAGGCTTGGAAGACTAGATCTTAGATTCTATGAAAGTGAGGTGTGGGTTTTGTTTTGAAGGAATAATAGTAAAAAAAATGGCTCCTGTATTTATGACCCTTGAAACCATACTCTGCTCTTACTGTGTAAATAGCATACATTTTTCCCAATGTGCATTCAAGCTGTGAAGCCAATGGTTGAGCAGCTATCCAGGCTGAGATAAGTAGTGGATGTTTATTGGCAAGACACAATTAAATAGTAGTGTACAAAACATACAGTCAGTCAGAATAATTAAACCCCTTCTTGTTCCCTGCCTCCTAAATTATCTGAGCAATCAGGCTAGAGAAATGCTCAAATTGTGCATTATTCAAGAAACTATATCTATGTAGACTACGTTAGTAAGACTTTTATAACAAAACATGGACATTATTATATTCTGTTATGGCTTTTAGTGCATATTCATCACTACATAATATCAGATTTGAAGTCTTTCAAATGTTTCCATATCCTGAGGCATTTTGTGAGAATCGGCCTTTTTATGGTCCCTTCTTAAAATCAGAAAAAGGCTGGTGATGGAGGGCTAACAGACAGTTATTTGTATTCTTTCTGTAAACTCACAAATGAAATCACTGTTAAGTACAGAATGGAACTCACCTGGTAAGTCTGACAGTGACTAAAGAACAAGGCTGATGATACCAAAAGCAGGTGTGAGAACCTCCAGTCGTTTACATTCCACATACCTGCATGATGCACAGTGAAAAGAAAATTACATATGGGAATCACTGTCTAAATCACATCTCTTTTGTTGTTTTTAGAGTGTTAACCAAGTATTTCCTTTCAAATTCTAAAGCATTTACTTTGTTCAGTTTTTACACATTCAATTTCTGATTACGATAACTAATATTATATTATATTCTGATTAATATATAATGAGAGGCGGGGATTGTTTTGCTTTTTGTTTTTCTTTGTTTTTGCTGTGTAGCCCAGGCTGGCCTAGAACGTGCAGCAATCTTTTGGCCACTGCCTCCCAAATGCTGGATTTACCATGCCCACTTTGAGAATTCTAAGAACAGTCAGAAGTGATCTTGAGGGCATTAGCTATCTTGAGGACATTTGATGGAAAGATGGTACCAAATTTGACCTAAAATTGGAAAATAAGTGGTAAATTGTCCACTTCCGTGGAGGAAAGAATGCTCAGGGAAAATAGATGAGGAGATAGAGAAGACAGACAGATTGGATGGCCAGAGCCATGTTGTTCTATTCTGACTGGCAAGCTTGAGTCTGCTTGCTGAGGACAGTTGGAGAGAGCTGGGAACATGAATTTTGTGATAAGTGGTTAAGAATGATTTGATGGTGGGTGCCTGTTTTTAATGAGTGCGCTGACTTCTGAGTGCTTGAGGACATTTTGTACTTGAAGAATGCAGACACTAGTGGGCACAATGTCATAGTCTCTTGGTGTCAAGATAGGTATTGTGGGGGAATAAAATAGGATACATAAGACAGAAAGCTTCATGCTAAGAGGAACAGGTGGTCTGAAAGGACAGGAAATGTACATGTACCAAATTTTAACAGAGTTTTATAAAATTTAGGTAGTCATCACAAGTTTGTAGAATTCCTAAAATATTTTATTTATTATTTTTCATTTTGTGTGTATGTGTGTATTGTCTGTATGTAGGTAAGTGCACCCGTGTCGTGCAATGCCCGCAGAGGACAGAAGAGGCTGTCGGATCCCCTGGAACTGGAGTTAAGGACAGTTGTTAGCTGCCATGTGGGTGCTGGGATTCAAAACCGGGTCTTCTGCAAGAACAGCCAGTGTTCTTAACCACTGAGCCATCTCTCCAGCCCCAGGATTCTTATAAAAAGAAATAAAATGTCTCTTTGCTAAATTATGTCTGTTGTACTTTAAATGGGAAGGATGTGGAGAGAGGATAAGACAGGGAGAGAAAGAGGAGACATAAATAGTGCCTAGCTAGTATAAAAACCCAGAGGGAATCGTATTAGTCCAAAGACCTACTGAAAACTTACACATACAATATCTCTACATGAGACCTAGAATATAGCTGAATACTACATAAACAGTGCCAGACAGGAGAAACCTTCCTTTGAGTTGTTAGCCAGGGTAGTCCAAGAAACTCCAAAAATTACACAGGCTATGGTCACAGTCCTTGATTGCCTCCCAGAACTTGATGGTAAGACCCTATTTCTGAAGACAGGACAGAGGATTTGGAGAAATGGTGCTGTAGGTGACCTGGAAGCCACTTCCCCTGAAGGCTAGCTCTTGTAGCTTTGGAGAGTACTATGCAATCTGATAAGGGAGAACATCAAGTGATGATCCAACCCCAGCTTCAGGACCTAATAACCACAACAATGACCAGCACAACAAACAACACTGGTGCAGTAGTGGCACTTTGATCTTGGGGGTAATCAACAGGTACCTAATTGGACTTAATCCTCACTCAATTGGAGGAAACTCATTCATGGTACTGTAAACCTAGCCAAATACACATAGGTGGAGAGGATCTTAGAGAAAACCCCATCTTTTATATTTGTTAAATTGCACAGGTAGCAATTGTCAGTTATTACTGTGCCCCATTCCTGTACTGCATCCCCCAAAGATATTGCTTAGCCAAAGCACATTCTCGTTTTTAGGCCCATCTGTTTGTGTAAGGCATTGGGGTCTTTTTGCTTTTATTTTTGTTTTTTGGAAATAGGGTTACTCTATATAGCCTAGGCTGCCCTTGAATTTACCGTGTAGCCTACATTGGCCTTGTATGTACAGTCCTCTTATCTGCCATATGCTGGGCTTGCAGGTGTGCCCTGCCAAGCCGACAGCATTGTGTTGTTCTGAGCAGGTCCACCTCTCATTTAGCCACAGGACTTTTGTCTACTCCAAGCGTCAGGGATTAATAATCTTTATTGTTTCTACTATTCTTAAAGTGCTCCTTGAATGGTTAGCTGATGTTGTAATAACATTGAGACACTGTCCAAATGGATAATATCCTATATCATGGCTTTTTTTTAACTTTTACAAAAACTTTATTGAGAATTTCATACATGCATATAAGGTATTTTGATCAAATCCATGCCTACTCCCTCTCCCCTCCAACATTCCCCCTTCTGAAGAGGTAACCCTAAAATCTTTTAAGGATTAGATACAAGCTTCCAAATACTTTTGACATTTTGACATTTTTTGGCCTTTGGAACAGAGTGTGTTGCTAACAGGCCCAAGGACATTTTGACTTTTAGCCAAGAAACTGGCTACATTTCCTTGGGGTCTTTTTACCCTAACTGCCTAGCCAGTTCCTACATCCTATTCTTATTACAACATCCCCTGAAGAGGTTACCCAAATTGCCAATAGGGAATAGTGATGCAGACTGCTCTGGCTTTTCCATGCTGAACTGGGATGCAGGGTGAGACAATTGGAGTACCCCTTCAGTGGGTCTATATCATGGCTTTTGTAGAGGACTTTCAGCATGAAATTCATCTGTATTCATCTCCATCTGAGTACGTAGTTCTTTGGGTTTTACTTGAGTCTCATCTATGAATTCCTCAAACACACACAATGTGTATGTATATTTTATATTTTATATATTTATACATATATA